AGATGTATGCCACTGTCAAAATTCATGAAAATTCACTATTGATAATATGTTGTGTTGACCAAATTCAAATGTTGCATAGTCGAGCCTCGCCGTTGTCATATAGCTAAAATCATATTTGGCGAAGAGGATTCATAGTCGGCCCTAGTTTTTGTTAGTGAAAGGTAATTCCACTAATAATTATTTGTCATATATGTACTATACATTTGAGCTAAACCACGACACTTATTATGAATCGGAGGGAGAAATTTTTGTCACCACCATTTCTCCTCGAGATGCTCTTGTTTCTTTTTTTTAGTATGAGTTCCCCTGTTCCATTTCAAGCAATAAAACCACAAAATTTTGCAGTGCGCCCAAATAACAAGGGGTAATCTCTGCGGTCCTGAGTGGGGAACTATACCTTGGGCACGTTGGCTTCAACCTGCAACTTACATCCAAACACTACCACTAAGTACACCTTAAATATAGAGGAAAACTCTCATAAGAGAACAATTTGAAGCAGGCTCACAAGGTCCGCCCTGGAGAGGTTATAACATTTGCGAGGTAAATGACAATTCAAAGCTAAATGAAAAAATATTTACACTAAATATTATCCTTTTTGTTACTCATCTCTTAGCCCTTTTATCTAATATGATAGTGTAAAAGTAAATGTTCTTTATAGATGCTAAGATAAAATCATAAATCTACCATCTTAAGAGAAAAACGACGGAGGAAAGATACGCTCGTCAAAGAGAAAAGCTACAACAGGACACCGCGATGCTGCCTCCGGCCATGGTTTTTGCTGGAACCAGTTGGTGAGGACACTGGAACCAGCCGTGGTGCATCCTGGGAACAGAACGACAATAGATGTTGCATCTGGTCATCTTTTTTGCTGGAATTGACATGTGTGGATGCTGGAATGGGGTAGGAGAAAAGCTGCAAAACCTCAGCGACCATGCAACAATGTTCCCGCGAGCTACGGCGGCGCCGATCGACGCTGAATGGCGGCATGCCTCTAGCAGCGTGGCGAGGTGCTGGGACCCATCGGCAAAAAAACTGCATTGAAAATTTGAAAGACCTACATTGAAAATTTGAAAATTTGAAAGACCTACATTTGAAAAACAATCCCCATCATATTTGAAAGACCTACATTGAAAATTTTCTATTCCATGGAAATTGCCACAACTACTCATCTATTACTCTACTACATCTATCAAAACATCTACATCATCATCAACATGGGGATTTGGCTGGTCTAACCTCGAGGTCGGAGGGGGGTCGGTGATGGGGAGGACGGTGGGGATGATGCAGGGCTCCTTGATTTCTGCAAAAAAAACAATATAAACAAAAACATTATTATCCTCATTTTAGGACTTAGTGAAACCCTATAAGCTATCAAGTAAATATCCAATTTGAACCATAGAAAAATGCCCTAATTTCACAATATAACTTAGAGTTTGATTACTGAAATTCCTATTACTAAATTTGATACCTAAAAATTTGTCATATAGAATTCCAATACATTTCTATAATTCGGAAAGTTCTATACCTAAAAATTTATATTACTAATTTTTTTACTAAAATTTTGTATTACTAAAAATTTATATCTACCTTCTACAAAAAAATTCTACCTACCTATACTATTCAGAAAACCTACATTCTACAATCAAAGTGTTACATGTCAACTAAATCTATTAACTATGTTTGATTTTTTACTAATTCACTCTAAACACTATAAGCTATCAACTAAACCCTAGAAGCATACTAAATCAAAGTGTTACATATCAACTAAATCTAAACACGATAAGCTATCAACTAAACCCTAGCCGTGTGGATGGAGGAGGGGAGGGGGGATGGGTTGTGGA